TGATTGTCCCATCTTCCTCAGTTATGGTGGGATGAATCCATCCTTTGTCAGCAGCTCTCCAAGCCTTTTTGTCCAGAGATTTTAGGAAGGCAATCATACGAGGTTTCCAGTAGTCATAATTAGTTCCATCCAGAATGGGTGGTCTATTTCCAAAAACTCCTTCTTTGTCCATAGTGCCAGAAAGTGATATCCCTAGATCTCACCCAGTAATACAGGCAGGGTGCCTGCTCTGATGCCAATTGAAAATTCTGGCTACAGATACTTAATGTCACGTCCGATGTTATGACACCGTATCTGACTTACTATATGACAGTAAATACAAAAGCAGTAAACAACACAGTCAATTGTTTACCCAGTTCAGTGTGCAACAACACCTACTCTGGGGGCTACCAAGCCAGGGAGAGAATCCACTATAAGAGATGTTAATTCAGGAATAAACCAACCAGTTTATCTCCTTCACTTAAGACCTACCCAATGCAATTCTAATCTAAGTACAACTTAAACCTGAGTTCCTACTCACTCCCCCTCAATCACAGCAGTGATACATAAACAAATTTGACTTGAGAATTGTTGAAGACACTCTTCAAAACACACACTTGATTAAGCTTCACAGCTTTTTAATCAAGTAACACAATCACTCGTGCTTCACAGCTTTGAGTGATGTACACAACTAACTTGACTCTGCTTCACAGCTTTAGTCAAGTAACATTCAAACACTCTTGCTTCAAAGCTTTGAGTGCTACACAACCCTTACAATTTAAGCCTATTCCAAGACACTTATCACAATGATAATTGCTTGGAGTACAATTAACAAATCTATACAGATTACAAACTTGATCTTCTAATCAATCAGCAGGGATGATCTCAAAAACCGCAGCTCTGTTGAAAATATATAGCAGCTGCAACTTCAGTTAGGGTTTCCAAAAACCTAGGGTTGATTCCGTTTGACCTTAAGACCAGGTCACAGTACTTCATTGATCAGGTTAGGATTGAGCTAGGTTACTCCTCAGAAAACGCAGGATTCTGTTTAGGAAGGACTGAGTTATTTCCTGAAAAAACTCAGACTTATCCAATCCTGTAATCCTGCTAGTTCAGAACAGGATGTCATAACATCTGTTATGACATCTGAGAAAACCTGTCTACTGATTAGTAAAATGTGATCATTTTGCAAACATGCTCAGATACACACTTATAAACATCAGTATTTGAGTTACAATATTTTTCTGCACATGTACCTAAAGAGCTAGTACAACCTGAACTAGAATGTTATGACATCAGTCATGACATTCACACATATACTTGGAATTTACCAAAAATGCAAGCCAATACCTAAACACCTACAAGATCAGATGATCCGAGTGAGATTCATGTCATTGACGGGAGGTTTTGGATTTGGCCCGAAGGAAGCAAGTAAGTTTCTTATATAAACTTTTATTTAAGTACATATTCATTTTAATATTTTGTATAAATTTATAATTAATATTGTTTATTCAAAATCTTGTTGTTTAGTTTCGCGCCGAGTCGGACGGCTGCCAAGGTTATTAATTATATAATCCAGCAGATGTATAAATCCTCTTGGAAGAACTTTGGCGAGGTTACAAATAAAGAAGAATGGTTTAAAAAATTTAAGGTATTGTTATTTATTTAAGTTGTAAATTTAATATATTTTTTTAGTATTGTTATTTAAGTCACATTTTAATGATAATTACTTAACTTTTTATTTTAATGTCATACAACATTGCAGGAAAAATGTGTGTGGGATCCGTTGAATGAGAAAATTATGGGAAAAATCTATTATAGCAGAACTTCTAGAAGATTTTCTAATATAATGCGGCGGGTTAGGGAGAATTATGACCTGCATGGTATCCGTCCTAACTGGATAGGCGTAGAGGTTTTTGGCGAACTTCGTACATATTGGGGTTCGCCATAATTCAAGGCCAAATCCGAAAATTTTAAGAAGATGAGGGCATCCGAAAAGGGGGGATGTGTCAATACTGTTGGAAGTATTAGCACTGCAGAGCATGTCCGGCGGATGGTAAATATTACTAATTTTTTAAGTTATATATATTTTTATTCATAATATTTTTTACTAATTATTTTTAACTTTATTGTTTAGACTAAGGAGATGGGGAGACCACCATTGATCATTGAGTTGATTACGAGGACTCGGACAAAGAAATCGGGAGGTTTTGTCGACGACCGCACCAAGAAAGCTTTTGTAAGTAATTTAACTTATGTTTTTTTTAAGTTAATAACAAAAATAGTGACGTTATTTCCACGTGGCAATCTATAAGTTGTGGCGTGATTATCGTGTGGCAACTGATAAATTGCCAGGTGACTGATTTTCATGTGGCAATTGATACATTGCCACGGGAAAATCACGTGGCAATTCATAAGTTGATTTGTGAAAATCACGTGACAAATTTTTAATATATTTGAATTTAGTATAATTTAATATATAAATGTTTTAATTTTTTTTTAATTGTATTATTTAATGTATGTGTAGGATGATTATCAGACATTGCTAGCACATTTTCTGGAACACAATCCGTAATATAGGCCAGCAGAAGGGGAGCCGCTTAATGGTGATGTTGATTTCTATATTTGGAATGAGGTTGTTAATGGAAAAGGGCCTAATGGTTGCTTTTTTGCGGGAGGAAATTTGGTCGCCGGCTTGAGAGTTGGTGATCGTAATCTGTTTCAAAGACTTAGAGATGGAGAAGGGGGGTCACGTCAACCGAATTTGACACAGGTTCAACTTGAAACAGTACGACAATTGGCGACCAGTGAAGTGAGACGCGAAATGGAGGCCCAAATGACGACAATGAGGCAAGAGCAGGAGCGTCAGTTAGAGATCATGCGGAAGAGGCAATCTGATATGGAGGAGCAGATGAGACAGTTTATGCAAGGTGGTCGAAATCAAAATGTTCCTGATCATACACAGCCGGATGATGACGGAATTGATGACTTTGATCTTGATAATTATCCGGGTGAAGATGCCCCGTGAAAACATTTTTTTTATTTCGTTTTTATATTTACATTTATGTAAGATATTTATTTTTATCATTTTAAATTATTAAATTATATAACATTTTATTATATGAATTTATTTTATAAAATTCTATTATTCGAAATATAAAATAAAATACTATTATTCTAATAATTTTAATATATAAATTTTAATATATAAATTTTATTATATAAATTTTATTATATAAATTTTATTATATAAATTTTATTATTTAAATTTTATTATATAAATTTTATTATTTAAATTTTATTACATTAATTAATTAATATAAAAAATAATTACTAAACAATTTTTAAAAAAATAAAAACGTCACCTGTAGCGACGTGGGAATCATGTCACAAATTAGTGACATGATTCTCACGTCGCTAATAAAGCTGCTATTATATTCCCTGCAACAAATATGTTGCGACGTGAATACCACGTCACAACTTTGTGACGTGAGAATCACGTCGCTACTGGCTTGACACTGGCTCCCCAGCGACATAAGACCACGTCGCTAATTTTGTTTTGCCACGTGATTTTGATGTTTGCCACGTGATTTTCACGTGGCAAATAAGCTTCTTTTTTGTAGTGATTTTGCCGTAATTTTGTTCTGAATTTAGGGAACTAGAAATTCTAACCTTAAGTGAATGCGCGTCTGGGGTATATTTTATCGTGAAAACAAACACACAAACACTTCAGATGGTCTCGAGAAATGTGATTTTTCCTTATTAGCATCCACCATATATCACATACTTTGATTATACTCTGATCCTTGGCCATAACATCTTAGTAGTTACTCCTTCCGTCTCATAAAAAATATCATATTTGAACTAGGTGCGATTTTTAAGAAAATGATTAGATGTATTTATTTTAATGATAAAATTAGTATCATTGACGAGAATATCCTTATTAATTATAGTTGATAAAATAGTGAAATAAAATGAAAGTTAATAAATAAAAATATAGTAGTGAAAAATAATAATAAATAATATATTAATATTGTAAATGAACAATTGTTATGAGACCGAGAAAAAACATAAATGAAATATTTTTGATGAGATACAGTAAATAGAAGAATCTCATAAAAGTTTAATAAAATAAAAATAATAATCATATTAATTCTATTTTTGTATATTTTAATCATAATTCCCATTATACAACTATCAATTTTATATGTGATTTTTTTAAAATAAATTGTTGTTTTGTTTGTTTTTTTTATTACTGGTATAATCTGGATTGAGTCAATTATGAGATTAAGTGATTTCAACTCTCTTTTGATCGTAATTATGAAAAACCAAATCATAATTCTTTTTATTAAATTCAACGTCAATCACCACTTAATCAATTAATAATTCATAAAATAAATTGATTTCGATAGATAATAGAATTACATTACATTGAATTCAAGGGTGCTCTCCCAATTTAAAAGGACTCTTACATCAATGTTAAAAATTGTTTCAAGAGTTACTTCAAAAAGAAAAATTAATTAAAGTTATTGATAAGTGAAGAAGATAGTCGATGTACTAATTTAATAATAAATATATATAAATAAATTTATTTTAAAATTTGTGTAATAAATAACATAAATATCATAAAAACATATATACTTTATTTAGGAGGTATATAAGTATTATTCTCATGATTCTCCACCTATTATTTAAACTTAAATGAAAGAAAAGTAAGCATCTTCAATTTATAAAGTGAAACAAATTGATATAGTAATAACAAAAGCAACCGTGGAAACAATACAACCCGAGGGATAAAAAACAGATGCGTGTCACTTCAAATGTCGCGTGTCACGTTCACGTAATCCTTATTCTTTTTTTATAGATTGAAGATAATTGTAATATTGTATTAACCATGTGGTTTTCGACTCTATAAATATGTTCACTATCATAGCAGCTGTTACTCAAGTATTTAAATATCCTTCAAAAGAAATAGAAGGGGTGTAGTGAGTAATTGTTACCACCAAGTGTTGAAACTCCATATGGGAGCTAAGAAGTCATCTTCCAGTTCATTTACAAGATTATTCAAGTGTTGTTTTTCGAGTAGAAGCAGTTATGATCACTTGGAAGGTAGTGGAAGAGGAAGAAGGATATTTACAAGTGATGAAGACATAGGTTGTTGGATTGGAGAGCCTGATATTGATAGGAAAGCCACTGATTTCATTGCTAAATACTATGCTACTCGAGTCAGAAACTCTCAGAGCCAAGTTGCATCTTGAAATTGGTTTTCTTCCTTGCTTATATCGATTTTATTTTTCAAGGAAATATTTCCATTTTTGTTTTGTTTTTTATAGAATCTAGCAGTCAAATTCATACCCTAAATGCAAATGTGCAGGGTGGAGAATTGTGAGTTTAGGTTACGACACTTAATTGTTAATTAAAATAATAGGGTCATTATTAATGATATGATCTTTTTCTTTCAAACCTTACTTCATGGAGAAACTACATGCTAACTTCAGCTCCTAAGAGTATCTTTTCTGATTTTGTCATTTAGCTCCTATCTGACTATGTTTCTTAGTATTACTATCTTAATATAATAATACTTTCCAAAAATGCTAGTCAATATTTGAAAATTGATGTCTTAAATTTTGAGAAAGTGTTGTGATTAAGGGGGCTGGATACGTGAATATATATTGCTTTAGTTTAGTAGTTACATGGATTTCACAATACAAGGATCTTTAACCTTAATTTCTGATGAAAATGGATGAGTGTGTTAGTACTCTTATGTGTTAGTTTAATTAAATGATTATAAACGGTGGATCTAAGTTCAATTTTGAGTGTGGATCTAAGTTCAATTTTTAGCAGCTATATTTATTTATATTTAATAATATAAGAGAAAGGTAAATATCGAGTAAATCTGAGAAGAGTGAAATCACGACTAAACGATTGAGAAATACATGTAAGAGAGTCAATTATGGAAGGGGAGGGTATTATCATCTCTCACGTCTATGGTATTTTATGGAATCTATTCTTGTTGTTCTAACTAAAGGGTGTGTTCTAATTTAAAATTTACGAGTTAAGGACAAAATACAAAGAGAGAATGCATGCAAAAGAAAACACTGAGAAAAGAAGAAATATTTACAAAGTTTCGTTCGCCTGGGCTCCGCGATCAAATGTGTACGTATCCTTTTAAGGAATCAGAGCGCTGTAGTTCGACTCAAAAGTTTCTGTTTGTTTTGTGTTTTTATGAACAATATTAATTTCGCTTCTTACTGCAGCTCAATCTTTGGAGACTCACGCGTTGGCATAGGAATGAATTAACATGTTCTACCTGAAGAGGTATTTTCAAAAGAAAAATGTCTGAAGGCGGATAATGCTAAATTCGTGTTCTAGCAAGTAGACATGGTGCTATCCAATCTTAAGGGATTTACGCGTCGTATTGCGCAGAGTAGAATTAACACATTCTTTTGAGAGTTTCAAAGAAAGATCTGAAGGCGAAAAGAGTTTGCATTGGTTGATGCCTTTTACCTTGAAAAGGGATTTAAGAGTTGTTAGATATTTTATGCATTTACCAAATAAAAAAATTAGTCTTAATCATGCAAAAGAGAAAGAAAAATATCTAAGGGAAACTATCTAGCTTTATCCCTCATGTTATCATACAATGATTGATCCTATAGTTGAGTTTTAAAATGGAAATCTCTACCTATGTTAGCTTGCATGGATTACAATCCTAATGTCTAACTTGCCTCAGAAACAAAAACAAGTGAATTCTAAGAGAATATGCAAAGGTGTATAGAAAAGCACAAGCACAAGTGCAAATCAAACAAAGTCGAGCGAATCCAAAGCAAAATCAAATGCGAGCTAAGAAATAAATAAAGAGTTCAAGGGATCTCAAAGTAGAAATAAGGAACTCTTTTCACTTGATTTGCTCGAGCACCGACATCGAGTAACAACTCAGAGCATCAACGTTTGAATAAACGTGAGTTAACATCATCGAAGCGAATGACAAAGTGTGGGGGTTGGTTACAAACCCTTTTCCAATTTATTTGAGTAAACGGACAAGAATAGACACAGTTCAAAGCATCAACGTACAACATGAGCTAAGAACGACACGAACTAGAATGCGTGGGGGCCGATTGTGGGCCCTCTATTCCACTTATTTGACTCGATAGCAAGTCCAAATTTAAAAGAAAAATGGGAAGGGAATGCGATTTGTCTCTATGATACGGTGGAAGAACTGACTTGGGTGTTTTGCATTTGATCGTAAATGTTGCGGTTAGCAAGAGACGCCACCGACTTTTCTTTTATCCAAAATGAAAGGTGAAAAAGCACAGGAAAGACCTTTGAGATTGTTTCTTGAGTTCGGGGGGTATATTATGAAAAGGGAAGGTATTAACACCCTTTTCATCCATGGTTTTCCATGGGCTCTTAGTTACTTGCTAGATCACTTGCTTTTTGTTTGAAAATTGTACTTGGTGTGGTTTTTGAAAGTATTTTGTAAAGAGGCCATTGTTTAGGCAATCTTTGTAATAATTCTTGTTTGTAAGAATATATACAAAGATGTTTGATCTTTTGAAAATGTTTTCAATTTTGTAAGGTGTTTGAAAGTGTAGGTGGTTATTTTGAAAATAGCAAGGATGTTTGTTTTGAAATGGAGCAAGTAATCAGGAGCAATCTACCTACTCAAATGTCTTTCTTGTTCATTCTCTTTTCCTTTGACATTGTTGTCTTACCATTGATTTGGTAAGCAACCATATCTTTGAATGTAAACGGGACGAGCGTGGGTCATCGTATAACCATGATTAGCAATGTTGCAAGGTATCTTAGCATTCTTTTTGATGGACTAAGATCATTTGTAAGGCAACTTAGATAGCGTCATCGAGGGACTATGATCTTGTATTTTCTTGTTTTTGCTAAGATACCTTACGTGCGTAATATAGCCATTTTTGTAAGGCAACCAAGTGGAGTAACCCTAGGGGTGCTTGTGTGCAAATGCATTGTTTTCATGCTTGATTTTATCTTGAATTAGGGTTTTCTATTTGTTGGTTTTAGTCTTTCCATACAAACCCTGATTTACTAAGATGTATATATGAAAGCATTTAAATTACGGAAAATAAAAATATTAAGCTATTACATGATTTGTGGGAAGGGGATGTACAAATTGAATGGGTATTGCAATAATTTAAAGCCTAATTAGTCTATTACAACCATATTGAATTTTGTTGTACCCCAAAATTTGCCCTCGCATTTTTCCTCAAGAAATCACAGCTTCAGGCGTTTCCTGATTTTTCAAACTGGCTCAAGAATCGGTCAAACAGACTTTTCTCGTCAGTCAGACAAAATTAGGGTTTTCTTTAGTTTTGAGGGGTCTAGAACAGTTCACACAGTTTGCTTAGGGTTTTGTTGGATTTTGGCTCAACTTTGATCAGGCGAACGTTCTTTGGCATTTAATCTAGAATTAGGGTTTTTATGCGCGGTTCCTCAGAAAGATTTGATTCTACGGTGCTTTGCAAGTTATTCCGAGATTTGGATTGGATTCGCCTTGTGTGACTAAATCAGTGAAAGGATGCATTGGGTTTGAATTTGTAGTGTCTGATTAAAGTCAGTAAAAGGAAAATACGTCTGGACAGTTGTTGTGATTGACTGTGCATTGCTTTGGATTTGTGAAGCGCTAGGTTTATTAGTTGATCGATGCTGAAACATTGTTTATTTAATTATTTAATATTCTAAGATTAAATAGTTGGAATTTATTTTCAATTATTTTAATTTTAGAATTATAAATAATAAAATAAATAATTGAAAAGGATAAAAAGAATTAATTGGATAAAAAGAATTTTTATTTCATCTTTAAATATTTGTTACAAATTATTATGTAAATACAAGTATTCATTTACACGGTATTTATAATAATAATAGTTACAATAATTAAATTTAAAATAAGACTATCCTAATTTTTTCTAAATCTTCAATTCTTCATTCTTCATCTGTTGCTAAATCCTCTCCATTCAATTTTTATCTGCAAAAGAAAAGAAGAAAAGTTAGAAGCAGATAAATAATTAAAAGCAAACAGTTAATTTGGGCTCATCATTAAGGGCAACTGACTGGAATCAGTTAGCCCTCTCTGTAAATCACGGGATTTCTCCCGGTTCACAAAAAGGGATAAATATTGCTTGCTAATCATGAATGCACAGTTGAAATTCACAAGTCAAAATTGTCAAACCACTGCATAGTTCAAAACAAACAGAATGGCCTAACTAAAGTCACAAACTATCCAAAAAGCTGTCCAAAGGATGTCAAGATACAAAAGTACAAAATACTGTCAAAAGAAGATATGGAAAGATATCAAGAAGACATAAAGTATGCAGAGTAAACATGTACTGCAAGCAAGATTTTCATTTCATCATTTCCCAGTGTTGCCTTTTCAGAGCAAAGTACACATAACATATTTTAATGTTTTGAATGGTACTGGAGAGAGAGAAGAAGAGGGAAAAGAACAGGCTTACTGACTTTTAGGCTTGAGAAAGAGAAATATAAAACAAGCTGCTAACACAGTAGAAAAGGAATATCACAAAAGAAAAATACAAAAAAACAGCACCAGTCTCCAAACCTTCAACCTGTTTTACCTGCCTAAGCATTAGAAAAATCACAAACCAAAAGAGAACCCAAAAACACAAAGCCTTGGTTCAAAAACCTGTAATGGCCTAAAAGCTCAAAACCAGCATAAACAAATAAAAGCCATAAACCTGCTAGTCTAAACCACAAAGCATCAAGACTATGTAACACAAACAGAAGCACCAAGCTTAACCATACAAACCAGTATAAAAAAAACCAGATAAACACCCAACCTGCAAGGCCATAACCAGTCAACAACAACAAACCTGCTGAGGCCTCAACCAAAGCCTCACAAGCCTAAAATGATAAACCAATAACCTGTAAACCTTTCAAGGCCTCAAGAACCTGCATTCAAAGCTAACAACCATAACCACCCAGTACCATAACCTGTCAAACAAAGGCCAAGACCTAACCAGCAAAAGCCTAAACTGATGTCCAAATAACCAATAAACATCAAACCTGTACCAGTCTCCAGGCCTAAAACATGTACCAGTCATCAAGCCTGAAGCTCACAGTAGGAGTCCCAAACCGACAGAAACTTGTACATTCAAGCAAACAACTCAAGGCCCTCTGAGTATTCTCATCACAGGGCAAGCATTCCAAAAGGTAACAGAAGCGAGGCAGAAAGAAGAGAGGAAAACGTATTCAAACCACATAAAACATAAGG